TTGGACCTCCGCAAGACAGTCTAGATTGATATCTCAACAGAGCAGGTCGTATAAAGCAAACTGGAGCTAGCACAGCCGAAGGGAATCGAGAGATCTGAATAAGCCTGGTGAAGGATTTACAAACTGAAATCTCTTGGTGACATCTCGGCTGGCTGGAGGCTTTGCCGGCTTCTGCCGCGATGCACTGAAGATTCATTCCGACTGTTGGTCTTTCTCGCGCCTAAATATTTCCTGGTTGCAAATGCTCGCTGTCCTGACAAAATTTTCTTCTCGCGTCTTCTCTTCTAGGTGTAGAGCAAGACATAATATTGCTCGGAGACGTGGTCCTCCGACAGACGTTGACGGAAAGTTGAGGGGGGATGGGACGGTGCCGGAGGGCAGGCTGCGGGTGTCGGAGTGAGCGCGACACTCAGGCTGAGCGAGCTGAATCGAAGCTGATTTGGGAGATACTTTCCCCAGTGCTATCTATCAAAATCCTAGGATCGTTTCTAACCTTAAATGATTCGAATAATGCCAGATTCCCTCGGGGGGAGGTGTCAAAGGTGGTTCGGAACGCTCGAGGCTTGCAATTTTGGATCATTTACGCGACCAGCTGGACGTCAACGTAGCAGATCTCTTCCCGATTCCTTGGTGGTTGGCGATGCATGTTTAGAGCCCAAAATGATGTCGTCAAGTCACTCCGGCCATATAAACGTGAATGGGACAAGGACCTCGTCATCCTCACCTGCCGACACGACGTCCCCCACCTCCAGCGAGCACCCATGGACCCATCTCAGTACTACACCTACGACTCGAGGTCGCGATCACTGGCGTCCACCACCGATCCTCGATACGTCCAGTCTGTGCCACACTACAATGACCCGGCCGCATCATACCAGTCGCCACCCTACCAGGCTGCCCAGCCTCGTCTTGACTATGTACAGGAAGGCTACCACAGCAGCAATTATCATTCCCAAGGACAGATGGCGGTCGCACCGAGCGCGTCGTACCCAGGAGCCTTGCGTTCGTACCATCTTGGCATCTATCCATCACATAGGCTCACCCGTTGACACCCACTAGCACCACAGCAGAGCTCGCGATCGCAGCCTGCAATGCCGGGCAATCGGTCCGTCAGCAATCCCATCCCACACAACCACAGCTACAGCGCGTACGGCGGCAGCCCGATTGCAGGCTACCCGGCACCAGCCCCAGCCCCGGCGCAAGACCACCACCACTACGCCCGCCACCACTCGCCGCAGTCGCAGAGCAGTGGCGGGATCCTGCCGCCGTTTGGAGGAGACGGCGGGCACCCGATGCAGCACGCGCAGCAGCAGCAGCAGTACGCGAGCTACCCGCACCCCTCCCTCCACCCCTCCACCACGTCCTCCTCGCACGCACGTCGGCCACACCCCGCGTCGCCGGTGTCGATTCCCCCGGCGTCCCCGACCAGCATCGAACGGTACGCCTGCGACAGGTGCGAGAAGACGTTCTCGCGGGCGCACGACCGGAAGCGGCACTTTGAGACGCACCATTCCGCGCAGCCGGTGTCGCACAAGTGTCCGTTCTGCAAGAAGGACTTCAGCAGGGCGGATTCGCTCAAACGTCATTGTGACAATGGGTGCGAGAAGGATCCGGATCGGGAGGGGTCGTGAGCTGGGCGGAGGACGGGCTTCGTCGACAGTTGTACGCATGCATTGGGATTATTTTGACACATTGCTTGGACATTGATACATACACTCCCCGCACTAATAGGTATTAGATCTGCCGTCTTTGTTATTCGTTAGTACTTCTTGCTGTGCGCTCTGTAAACTGCGTAATGTAGATGCTCATTAATTCCAATATATCCTGTTGTATAAACAATGGTCCTCTTCTTCTTGCATTTGCACACATGACCGAACAGCCCCGACAGATCCGCAGATAAATGCGACGAGGGCCTCCGTGAGCTGTCGCGGAGGAGGCGCAGGCAGGCAGTAACCATCGTCGTCATCGAAGAAAGATCACGCGAATCCGGATGGCGTCGCGAAGCAGGAAGCGTGTCGAGGAAGGAGAGTCAAAAAACATCCACCTCCCCGATGCTTGATCGTAGATCCGCCGTCTCTTTTGGGCAGACTTGCCACCCCCACGTGCGGCCGACAGGCTAGCCACAGGGATTGGCTAGAAGGATCTGCGAGGTCGTTGTTACGTTACAACCTCGTACACTGTGCGTTGCTGTTCACGAACCACGAGGCAGCCCGATGATTGCGCAAAAAAAAAAGAAAAAGAAGACACGGGTGGACACACCAACTGCTGGCAACGACCTCCCGACAGTCCGGGTGAAACTCGACGCTGTGAGGGGGGATCCCGCGGAGAAAGATGGTACGGGAACGAGTCCGTGACAGCCGACGGAGACAAGGAAAGCGGGAAGGGTCCTCAAAGCACGCATATCAGTGACAACGATCGCGGTGGCTCGATTGAAAACAAGAAGGCGTAAATTGCAGACAGACCCGGTGGAGGGGTGAATCGCAATCTGCCCCGGGGAGAAGTGAGGGGGACGCGTTTGGATTCGTCGACCCGGTGGATCTTTCGTGGACGTCCAGGACATTAGGAACGCGATTGAGCGGGGAGGTGCGCGTTTGATTGCAACCGCTCGCCTCGGCCAATTGATATTTGAGTGGCCTCTTGGGAGGCAGCTGGAGTTCCCAATGCGGCGGGGAGGGCGCCAGGATGAAACGAGCTGGAGAACAAGGCCGGGGGGAGGAGGATGGATGAGAATGCCCATGTGAATAGAATCTGCCATGTAGCCATTCGCGGAGAGAACACCTGCAAGCGAATAACGCGGCCATCTAGATGAGGCAGCCAGTATCGAAGTCCTCCCCGTCCCGGAACAGCTGCCCACGATGGCAACACACAAGAGGCCGCAGACCCGCACGAGCTGACTCAAGACTACTGGAAACCCACAGGACCGAGAGGCACTTTGTCAGCTGGGGTTTCAGGATCACCTTCTGTCTGGTGGAGACGGATGCCCTTCTGCGATAAAGACCGGAGCGGACAAGGGCAGAAGGCACAGCGGACTGACAGGCACTGACTCCCGCGGCGAAGTGCACAGACCTGGCGAAAACATCGGGCTCGCTGCAAGAGGACACAAATAACGAGCGTCTGATCAGCACGACAGTTATGTCCCGAGTGACTGGACGACACAAGAAAAGAAGGAAAATACGTACGTTGCATGGACGACGGCAGCAACAGCACCGGACACTGTCTGCAGCTGGCCCCAGAAGCATTCCGTCAAAGATACATGACACGGAAAACTTACGAGCCATTCAGTTGATGCGCCTACCACTCTCCGCGGACGATCTACACCGTCGCGTGGTGTCTGACAAGACCATCCTGGTGCACAACACACAGAACCTCCGTGGATGGTGTGCGCTCGGGAACCGGCATCATATCGTCCCACCTCCCTGGCGCACGCAGCTACTGTCACATCGAACCATCCGAGGCTACGCTCCATGTCCTGCACATCGTTCGTTTCGCTGCGATCCGGACAGAAGCACGGTTGATGAAAGCGACCGCATTGATCGCACTGGAGCAGATTCAACGCAGTTCTAAGTTGAGACGCGGGGGTCAAGTCGGAGGGCATGATCATCCGACGCAGCACACTGGAGCACTGAACGAGAACACGTGAGAAGAATGCATTCAACGGCAAGTACAGTCCAAACACAGAGAGCAGACCTAGAGAACCCGGTCGTCAATCGCTTTCGTCTCCGCTGCCCTCCTGCGCGAGCCCTTCAATCTGAACCCCGCCCCCGCCGTCGTTCCCCTCGTCGTCCTGCTCGTCGGCGTCCGCCTTTGCCCGCTTCTCCCTCATCTTCTCGATCACCTTGTCGGCGCGGTTGAAGATGCCCCCTGTCGGCGCACCGCACGCCGCGCACTTTGGTGTCTTCGCGAACCGCCTGATCGCGCACGCAGAGTCAAAGTAGTGACCGCAGCGCGTGACGACGGGGTCTGTGTACGGTTTGCGACATATCAGACACGCGAAGGGGATGTCGTCGTCAGAGTCCGAGTCCGACACGTCTTCCACCTGCTGTCTTGGGTTCTCGGCCAATTTATCAAGCTGCCAGCCGGCGAGGTCTGTGGGCATATTCGTCAGTAAGGGCATGGTACGCCGGACAGAGTGTGCCGCTCACATGTCCCGCGATCGTGCAAGAATTTACAGGTGTCACCGAACCCGCAGTAACCGGTCTCTAAAAGTCAAATGTCAGTCGGGGCTGTCTGGAGGGTCATGGCGATGTAACAACATACCTTTGTAGTCCTTGCATACATCTGGCTGATAGTCGGTAATCGTCACCGTCCGGATCGTACTTCCACTCGCCCTCTGAGGGCCAACCCTCATAGCTTTCGGAACCTCTTTGTTCTTCTGTATATGACTCTTGTACGCCTTCTGCCCTCTGTACAACCCGTCGTCCGGCGCGTCCTCCTCCTCCTCGTCATTGGCATTTCTCTTCAGTCTCTTCGCCTGCATCTCCAACGCCTCGTCCCCCTCCAGAATCTCCAACGCCGTCGACAGGTGCGACCCTTCCGCCGACCACTTCACGTCGACGCCGTCCCTCCGCGAGTCCTCGTCTTCGTCCTGCTCGTTCTGGCGCTGAGACGCGGTTCGTTTGCTACCTGCGCTGAGAAGGTTGCTGGCTGCTTTCTTGGACGGAAGGACGACCTCTGACTTGGATGAGGATGGACCGGGTTCTGCGAGCGCGTTCGCTGGTGGTGATGCAGATCGTTTTCGCGAGGTCGTCGGTCGTGCTCTGCTCTTCTTCTTGAAGAATGGCACGTTTACTTCGGTGGAGGCCATCGTAGTCGTAGATGGTATGGAGTAAAGGAGTTGTTGGCTTTCAATTCAGCAACTGGAGCGTGAAGACGAAAGAAAGACGAAAGAAAGCTGACTCAGCATTAAGGTCACGTGTATGTTCTGCGTCTAAATTCAGACGCCGAGTCGGCGTTTGTAATCTGCACGTGTACAGATCGTTTCTGGAACGCTTTCCAATCACTCCCGTTTAGCTCAGTGGTAGAGCGCATCACTAGTAACCAAGTTCGAGTCTCACCGACTCGAACGACCGTCACAATGATGAGGTCAGTCGTTCAAGTCGGCTAATGGGAAGCTTTTTGGCTCTTTATTTTGCGCAATGAATGCATTGTTACGGAGTTGTGGACGATTTGCAGTGGCCCACTCTGTACCCAGGATTTTGACAGGTTAAGCGCTTGTGGCCGGATTGGGATGTTTACGCTGCGGTACGATGAGCTTCACCTCCTTCCCAACGCATTCAGGACACCTCGTCTTTGGATTTACAGTGCAAAAACCTGTGATTTCCCGGTGTCTTATCCTGAGGAACAAGACACTCTTTTGTACCGCAAATCACACAACAGTGCATTCTCTTGAATCGGCGGACTTGTGCAGTATTCTTCATCCACCGTTAGTGTAAGGTCTTACATGGATAACCGAGGTAGGAGCCCGTCGACGACTCCTGACGTTGAGTTAATCACCACTTTACACTCTTCAGGAAGCTCAACCAGCGTTGAACGGTCAAGATCCGTCGGCGTCGGAAGTGTTCATGCCTAAAGTAGTCCGAGACTGCACCTTGAAGCGACGACAGGAGAGTGCGGTCCTCGCACCGTCCGCTGGCTCAGCTTTCGTACAGTCCCAGAGGGATAACGCGATGTCGGATGAGGGGCCGTATACTGGTGCGCACTCGGGTTTTCAACATTTTCCGTGTGTTTGGACTGACGCTGCAAGAGGAGACGGTAGCCCGTGGGCGAAGACCAGCAAAGTGTGAATGTGAACATAGCGGTCATCGAGACTTCCTCATGGTAATATGTCACCCTTCTAGCTTGAATTTCTGCATACTCATACTCTGAAATACTTCCTGTCATGGTAGAACTTCTCTTCGTCCAGTCTCTCACGAGCCAGTTCTGGTCACCAAGATGTGTTCTCCTGGTCTCCGCCAACACTCCTCACGGAGCCTCTACCGTGCAAACCAGGTCGACGTCTCAGATGGGTAATCAAGGTGAGTGCCTGTGAACCTTTGCCGTTGAACTCATTGTCACCAGACAATCAGGAGCCTCAGCCAACCTTGTATGGTAAAGATCGACCGAGACGGTCCAGCCTGGCGCCATGACCAAAGTACGCTGAGAAGACTATTAAGCAAGGGCACAAAATAAAAAAACGGGATATATGCGCTGTCTGATGGCTCGGTGTTTGTCCCGATCGCGTTCGAAGTTGGAGGAGGCCGTATGACGCTAGGTGCGCGCTTTGACTCTCGAACCCACTCACGAGTCAACCTTCCCCCTTCTCTTGGACTCGACGCGTCGATATTGGGCTGTGGCGAAGCTACCGTTGAGCAGGTATTTCGGTTGTATCGATCTTACGGGGAAGGTCGGCCGTACAACATGGAGGAATGGAAATACGGTTGTGCTTGAGCTCCTTGGAGTCTGTGCATGGGGGTACGTGTAGCCCTCTTGCTTGGTTTCTTACGGGGCTGCTCACACGCCTGTTTTAGCATTTGCCTTTACTGGCAGTCAGGTTGCGGTAGGTGATAACGACTCGTCCTTTGTGAAGCCGGCATCGATACCCTACATACGTCGGATGAAGCACATACGAGGACTCACCGCACCGTCGCGATTGAGAACGGGTTCTCTCGTTGTTCAAAACATCTGCTAGGACTCTACGTCCACCTCTCTGCTGCTCTCATTTCACCGGTACCGTTCTCGGACGGTGTGTAGTTCTCTTCTGTCTCGCCCGCGCTACCACAACCTTACTCATCGTATGGAGCAGAACCTACTCGTCAATGGTAGACCGGCAGTCTATTGATTCTACCTCGAAAGTACAAAATCCATCCAGTACACGATAAAAATCCCTGCCTGAATTCCAGGTCGTCCTCCTGCCAGCAACACCATACAGTCAAAGAATATCGCCCTTTGATGTCGCCCTTGAGCGTTATAGGCTACTTGCGGGCCCGTATACGGATCCTCAACTCGAGAAGTTGAACCCGGGCCGCCATGTACCCACCAACGGTTACTTATTGCTTCGCTCTGTGTCCGGGATATAGTGCGCGGAGGCTTGGCCGTACCAACCACGCCCAAGTGCCGAAGTTTGGTACTTATATTTGATGGTACGCTCTAGTGGCTCGGACACTTGTATTGACCCCGATCTTAACGCAACGCGAACGTTCCTAGCACACCATCCTACTATCTGCTCAAATCCATCAATACTATCAAGTTATGGGCCCGGACCGTCGTACTTACCGGATTCTTCAACGTTGCTGGCAGCAATCCAGCTCACATGCTCATCCTCCTGGGAACTGTCCCCCACGCCAATAAATGAGGTGGATGACCAGCTTCGTTTCTTACAGTATCCCCCACTGCCCGAAGGAGCAGAGAGCTGTGGCTGAAGATTTAATCGGCGCGGTGGACTACGGAGAAAAGGAAAATATGTTTTTGGAAGTGATCGAGTCAGATTACCTTCTGTGCAGATCGATTTCATAGTACGGAAGCTCGGTCGAATAGAACGAGCTTGAATGCTTAATCGCTGGGGATGCAGCATGGTATGACGAAGCTCTCGAATACGATAGGCTATCATCCGATTGCAGAAGAGGGCGATTTCGCGAGGATGGGGCTGGTGTGGACCACTGTGGACCATCTGCCACTTTGCGCCACGGAATATGCGGCCGGGCGCTTTGCGGATCGCCGGGCCCGCGTGGAATTTGGCGTGTGTTAGTCATCCTCGGCCTTATCTACCTTGAGCTTTGGCTCTTTCCCTCCTTTTCGCCATCCGCCATCATCCTCCCCTCCATCCGCGTTCTTCGTCGGCCTCAAGAGCCTTTTGCATCATACTTGCGGTGTGTTTCCTCGTCATATATGGCGTTCTACAGGCCCTCATTCTTCTCCAATGGCGTGCAGTCCATCCCCGAAGAAAAGATTGTCGAAAATCACGCAATTCTGGTAGTCAAATGGCGCCGTCGAACCTTCAAGGGCTCAACATAGTCCACCCTCCCCAGCCTCAAAATCAATACCTGTCAGACCAGGATCTGCTTGCGGTGCCCCCCTTTTCGGATCTGAGTGCACAGCTCGACCTGTGGACGAATCTGAACTTCCAGTCAGATGAACCCCTCATTAGCTCGAGGGGGAAAAGTCAGGGTCTCGACGACGACCGGAAGGGGTCCAGAGGGCTCAAAGATATTGACTCATACAACTCCCATGAGGATGAGCTCCAGCAAATTGGCAAGGTCGCGGAAGCTCATGCCCATGAGAATGTCGTGACAGGGACCGTCATTCCCTCGCCCACTCTGCGTCACGACAGCGGCAAGAACACACCCGCCTTCAACCTCCCCGTTCAGCCATCTCTCGATATCCAAAGCCTCCTCGCGAGCTTCGGGATCGAACCGTTCCAGCAGGCAGCTCAACCTTCACAGCAGCCGACCAACCCCACGTCCATTGCCCAGCTCCTTTCCTACCACGCTGCGGCAGCTGGTCTCCGACCGTCGTTGGGCTCTTCCACTTCAGTTCCATCGGCACCTGCGGCTTCCCAGCAGAAGCCTTCTCCGTCTGTGACCGTCCCTCCTCCTCCGGCGTCTAAACGGGCACGGACTGCACGCACGGCGTCTTCCGAACCACCATCCCCTGCTGACTCCCACACGCCGGAGGACGAGGAGGGATCCACGCCTTTGACCGCTGCAGAGGACAAGCGTCGGCGAAACACCGCCGCTTCGGCCAGGTTCCGCCTCAAGAAGAAGGAGAGGGAGGCTGCGTTGGAGAAGAAGGCGAAGGAGTTGGAGGTGAAGGTTAGCGAATTGGAGAAGGAGTGTGAGGCGTTGCGTCGAGAGAACGGGTGGTTGAAAGGGCTTGTGGTTGGTGTCACTGGTGCGGGTGCTGTTCAGCAGCAACAGCAGGTGCAGACGGGATCAAAGCGGCCTAGAGAGGAGGACGGGCAGTCATCGTAAAGTCTTTTTTCGGGTGTGTTAGCCATGTTCTTCATGATTTTTATTTTATCTACGAACTTCTCCCCGCTTGGATTGCCCTCCTTTCTTAGGTTGTTTGTAGATGTACGAATACGGGGACATGTGTACGAACAGTTTCCGATCGCCAGTACGAGAATCGAAGAAGGTGACAACGAATTCCATTTGAAGTAAACGCAAACATAACTGTAACATACAATGCCATGTTTGAGAATTGTATCACGAGTCACGATGTAGTCTTCAGCAGTGTTTAATCTTCAACTAGAACGTTATAAATCGCGCGAACCACTTGGTAGATGTCGCCTCATCTTGCTTCACGCCCGTGACGACTCGGAGGGCCGGCCTGATTCCTGGTGGTCGAATTCCTTGCGGCACGGACTCATGGGTGTTAGCGGCGAGGATGACGATTCCCTTCATGGAACGATTTGAACAGTGTTTTGAGAACTTTGACTTGCCAACGATGTTAACCGACAACCGGAATAAAACCGACGTGGCTTCACCCATAGCAGAGCTGTGCGACGTTGATCAGAGTATCTTTCTGAAAGGATTCTTTCAACCATTAGAGACGTGCAACACACGTTAGAATGTTGGGACACTCACGTCAGAGAAGTTGTCGAATCTTTCCTTGTATTTTATCCGTAAACTCCAGATATGTCGAGATAGCGAAGTGTGTAGCACCCCATTAGCGACATTGCGGTTGGGAATATGCATAATCTTCGCAAAGGCTATCCAATATAGAAGTCTTCAAGTTCCCATAAATCAACACCGAGCGATGAATGGCATTTTGAAACGCATGCCTTGAAGGAGAAGCTATTCAGTTCACCTCACTAAGCACAAGGCCAAGGCTGACACAATCAAAAAAGAGAAAACTCACCATCATTCGAAAGTCGGGCCTGGAGAGCCTGGAAGGTTTTGAGGCATGCCAGTAAACTGGTGAGTCCTTCATAACGCTGGCCAGGCAGTGCATCTTTTCATGGACCATGTACCCACTGTATCACATAGATAGGATGTGCAGGTCCGATCCCTCGGTAGAAACACGTTTAGTGACTCATTTCTGCGCCTGTTGGTCATACGTGCGTTAGGAAAGTTATTCTCGTACGAGAAACCATACCTACTGCTGATAATACTTGACCCGGCCATCTTCCATGGG